TATTCATCATTATTTTCCTCTTCTTCCTCCTTCTCTTTTTCGTCTTCTACTTCTTCTTGTTGTTCTCGTACTTATTATCATTTCTATCATCAGTTTAATGTTGTTATTATCTTTAATAATTCTTTCTTTTTTTTCTGTAAATATTACTATTTTAACTTATTAATGTTGTACATGCCTGTCGGGGACCCCACTGGAAATAAACTCTCGAACTTCCGTGGGTTATCCTGTTCAAGCTGACTTAATTTTGATCTGGTTTTCTTATATATTGTATGTTGGAAGCTTGGCGAATAAAATCCATCAATCAATCATCGTTATCGTCACTGCCATTTACGTATGACCGGCCCTTTCTTCACTAACATCTCCCAAGCCTTCGGGAATGACCCCAACATTTCCTGATTAACATTCTGGCGTTCTTTTTTTTGGGGGGGGGAGGGGCGGGCGGGCTGGCGCGGTCTTTTTTAAGAAGTGTTTTTACACTAAACCTTTTAGGCACTACGGCTTTTCATAAACAAGCATGCTTAAAAAAAATTGAAAATAAATTGAATTCCGACCCGGTGTTGCACAACCTACAAAGTACAACACGGTCAGTCATCCCTACCCTCCATGCACGCGCATTTCAAACGTGCACCCCCCCCCCCCCCCCGTTTTGTTTCTAAAGCGTCATTAATGTCACCTAATTAAATGTAATTTCCTTGACTTTATCCCTTTCTCACCCGGATTCTCTATTTTTTTTCTTCTGTTTTTCTTTCTCCCTCTCTATCTCACTCTCTCTCTCTCTCTCTTCCCTTTCTTTTTTTTTCTTTTCTCTTTACTAATATCTTCTCTTTTTCTTTCTCTTCTTTTTTTCATTTTTCGCCGCCAATAAGGGGGAGGGGGCGGAGGTTTCGCGTTCTTACCTGGATTCGCTACTGCGTTAATTTGCATTGCTCGTTGGCAAACCGCTGAACCAATACAAAGCTAAGGACACGAAATATGCGATTCAAAACAAAAAGCATGACGCTGCGGTCATAGGTTATCGGCAAACTACGCATACGCATAGATTAGGTTAAAATATATATTCCTTCTGATTAACCATGACGTTATCCTTCAAACAATAACACACATATAGAAGTTTTAAAAAATAGCACATATCTTGTGACAACACTATCGGGTACAAATCTAACACTTGGGTGGAGAGTGGCACATTTAGATGAAAGTCTTGCCGATTGACATCAAAACCGTGGCAGGACTCGAACCGCGAACCATTTAATACATCGACCTGTGACGTATCCACTAAACCACGACACCTCTACTAGAATCATGAAAAAAACCATTTGTGTTTGATTTAACTACATGAGAAGAAACTTTTGCAAAAGCATGTCCTCATTACCTTTGGTACCATGTTAATATAAAAACATACCTGTATACAAATAATATGCATTCCTTTTGGAACATTTTTTGATGATAAGATGGTCATGGCAACTAAGAATCTTGCAGAAGGTTTTTTCAACATGGCACTAAATCTTGTATCCAAAATGGGTTCCATCTATAGATATTCGTCATGTTTCTTAAACTTTCAGTCACTTCTTCATTAAGGTCCACCTAGAGCGTTCAATGTATGATCTTCTGATTTGTTTAGTTATACAACAATAACATATCGTTCAAAAACTTCAATATCCAAACAGAGTCTTTATAACAAAACGATTTGTAATATAAATTCTTACATTCTTGTGTAATTTCGTTTCCAATTGTTTGGCTCTTCTGCCTTTTTATGAAGGCCCCTTTTCACATGTGATAAATACCCCTATTAAAATTGGATAAGTGCCCCTCTTCCTTTGACAAATGCCCCTTTTTCCTTTGACAAATGCCCCTTTTCCCCTTTCATAAGTGCCCTTCTCCATCTCTAATAAGTGTCCCTTCTCAGGTGCCAGAGGTGTCCCTATTTGCAGCTGTGGTAATTTCTTATTTTTTTACTTTGACACGTGCTCCTTTGCTGTCCTTTTTCCTTTAGACAATCACCCCCATTTCCTTTCACCGTAACGTGTGCCCCTAAGTAAATAGCTGCGCTAGCTAGTATTTACAGTTAACATCATTGTGTAACTTATTAAAGGTTTTGTCATTATGTTATCATTGGTTTGTCCTTTATCAGGATCCGCACTGCAACCTTATAAATAAACAAATCACTTGCTCCACTCTCGCTCAAAAATATTAAGACTACCACTCCAAATAGCAAAGTATGATGCTCCAGCCGTATCTTGGAACATGTAAAGGGAGAAACAAATAATGAAATCCTCCCAGATAATTATAATCACAATGACGGGGTATAAACCAATTTCTCAAAATAGTATATATTTTGTAAAACTAGGTTTCCCTTGTAGGTGCCCCTTTTTTCTCCAGAAAGTACTTTTTTTTTTAGGGGGGGGTACCTATACTGTGAAAGACGCTCCGCCTTCCCCGACAAAAGGTCTGAAATTTCATGCGAGAGTCCTTGACATCATTTAAAAAACCCTCACAAGTTTAAGTTCACCGGAATCCCATTGATACTCGTGTTGTTTTGCATATACATGTACTCGTTTTAATGTCGGCGAATTCGTACTTGGTCGTTGCTTGCATCCTAAGATCGCAGGGTGTTGTCCACATTTTGTTGTTCCTGTCGAACAACGTTCATTCCATGGGTACCAAGCAGCAATGGTGAGTTAATAGTAAACTGTTGCCCCAAAAGATAAAATAAATTCATATCACCTCTCGTCATGAATCGATTGTGACGATTTGGTTTAATCTTGATAATTATATACAGTTTGTATCTTTTCGATTTTCTCATAATACAATCTGAAGAGTCATGGACCAGTATGTCACAAGCAGGTCCTGAAATATGGTAAGAAAAGTTACTCTCACCTTAGGGGCAACAGTGTAATTTCAAGGAATTTGCTGAAGGACTCTATAAAGATAACAGTATCCATGTTAAAGATACCTTTTGCAGCCAAAATCAAATTCTGTAGAACTTTGCAGGAATTATGAATATGTCATGCATGTCCTATCTGTGAAATTTAAACTTTAGGAGTGTCCTTATATTCAAATTATGCAAGGAAACCTGTTTACTTTCTAGACTTCACTGTCGGACACTGTTGAGTGACTGACCGGCTTTCATCATCTTTGGTAATAACATACATCAAATGAGCTGGAAAGGGTACATGAGCATTTGTCTACATCAATAACCCACTTCTTGTAATGGCCAAAATTAAACTGATTGAATCTTTGCGCAGCATAAAACGTACGACCATTCCATACAATGGTCTGAGAAATCAGACTACTACTTACTGGCTATATAGCTCCTAAGTCGATTTGACAACTAATAGTCGTTATTTTCCTACTTTGAAGACATTTTCAAGCCCCTCTTTTTTAGGAAAGTTCTAAATTAGTATTGTCTTTCAAATGCCGTTGGAATTAAATCTTTTGATTATTTTGGCCTGCAAATGGGACATAGTACCTTTAAGTGAGAAAACATTTTCATTATCCTGACTATTTTTCTTATATGATAAAATCGTTAGTTACCTTACCAAGGTAGCCTTTATATTAGATGAAAAAACAGATTTTTGTTTCAGTGTTTAAAGACCGTTTTCAACGATTTTAGAAGAAGGTTGATCGCTATCGTAATAGGGTATGCAGCCAAAGACGATTAAAACATCATTTTTAACAAGCAAAAGTTTACAGCTTACATAACGAAATTGTGAACCTTATACCTGCTTAGTGGTTCAGTTTAATACTATTCATTTTGAACTTTAAGAATGATGTGTGACTTAAAAAAAGGGTAGACTTATTTACGTCAGCGAGTGAAGGACTTCGTCATTTTCAGCATTTATTTGTCCTGCTTTCAGTGTGAACAATTTCGGTTAGGCGTTGTGCGTTGAGCGCAATATTGCGCACTAGTTAATGAAAAGAAAGATTTTTTGTAGAGATTTGGTTATTTTCTTTTGTATTATCCTCTATTCATCAAATTCAATACTAGGTGCAGGCCATGAATTCCCATCTAAAGCACAGCAACCTTCACCTCGTTGAAAGGAGGCTTCAGAATAATAACATGTGGCTATACCTCAGTCACACTGCCAAAAAATACTTCACTCCGAATCAGACAAACCAATTCATGACCATTCGGGGGTAATGTAATTGGTTGTAAATTTCTGTTGTCGGTTTGGTGTCAGTCTTGGTTATGTGTCGCTGGTGGGACTGGACTGTTACACCCATCTACTTATGTCAGTCGTTGGAAGTTGATTTCTGCTGTTATATGGAAAGAATAAGGTTTGTGACCGAAACAAATTACATCAAAGATATATCTCCGGTTATACAGTGCGTCCCAGAAAAAAACGAAACCGATAATTGTTGATGTTTTGATCATAAATTAATCACAATAATAATTAATAAATTATATTTTTAAAGCTTGAATCCTCCTCTTTCTTTTGATGCAACTCATATGATGCATATTTCGTGCATGAGTGATTAAAATCAATTTAAAGAGAGGAAACCAAAAAGTCATTTGCAAGCATCACTTTAAACAAACAAAACTCTTTTATTCCTTGCTCCCTTTTCCTGATTGAGGTGTCATATGAAAGGTGGTCATAAACTAAGCTTTCTAGAAATGTGATTTTCTCTTTCAAATTCAGATACTGTCCGCCAAATGACTTTCTGGTAAGATATGATAAAACATTGATAATTCTCGGTTTCGTTTTTTTTTCTGGGACGCACTGTATACAATATTCGTTTGTGGTCCAGATTACTGGTCCTCAATGACACACCCACAGCAGGAGATTCATCCGCACGTTCGAAAAGATGTGTTGGTAGCTGTATTCAGCGGCACGTGAAACAGACAAATCTCAACAATATTCGTCCAATCAACGTTCGTCTGATGAAGAAGCTCCGCCCCATGTTTTTGGTTCAGAGTCGCCGAACCACAAACGCGCGTTGAGGGGTGATAGCCTGGTTAGCTGATCAGTGTCAGTTTAAATTCAGCTTACCTCGGGCTTGGACTTACTTTCTTTGCATCTCTCAGTTATTTTCAATTTTGTGAGGAATTGGACGTTATCAGGAGTGTACTTTTCTATAAGGTAAGACACCTCACCTGCTTGATATAGAATATACGTTTAAAGTACAGCAGTGCTTTTTAATACCAAAACGCAAAGAGTATCTGTTAATTGTTATATAGTTAATCCTTAAGTCTTATTTAGTCAGGCTAGCCTTCTGGTGCAGGAAAATTCTCCTTCAAAAACTTCATCATATAAATACAAAAAGTGCAAAGAGGTGTCGTGGACGAGTGGATACGTCGCTGGACTGTCGATCACAAGGTCCGCGGTTCGAATCCCGCTGCGGCACTAATGTTCTTTGGCGAGACATTGATCTACATTTGCCACACTCCACCCAGGTGAAGTAAACGGGGACCGGTAGGAAGGAATTTATTGAATGCTGTGAGCACCGGAATCGGTAGCCTAGCAGAGCCGGGGTAATATTGGAGCGCTTTGAGCACCTTGCAGGGTGGATATGTGAGCCATATAAATATCCAATATTATTATTATTATTACTATGTTGAATTTACAAAGATATAACTTATTTTCATATAATTAATATTATAAAATATTGGGTTGTATCTCGTTAACATACTTTTGCCCCAGAGGAAATTAAATGAGTTACCAGGCAGTTAGACGACAATAAGTCATGAGGTATAGATGTATGTATGTTTTTCTGGTTTTCTAATTCAGTGTATTTTGCCAGATAGGATGATATATGTCATCTTGGTTCCAGTATTAAAGACAAAGCTGGTCCTATTTCCAGTAAGGACAATTATAGACCAATTGCATTGGCCACTGTACTTCCTAAAGTATTGGAGAAATTATTATTGTCTAGGTTAGAACTTTTGTTAAAATTATTTCTATGAATGATTATCAGTCCGGCTTTTGGGCGAAGCATAATTGTATTTTTGCTCTAAAAGTGATTATTTCTAGTTATCGAAGGAGAAACTCCTCAATATTGTTGTGTTTTCTTGATGCCTCCAAAGCATTTGATAGAGTGAATCATGGATTGTTATTCAAGAAAATAAGTAACAGGGGCATTCCCCTTTATTTCATTACAACATTTATACATTGGTATGGTCACCGGACTGTAGTGAGATGGAGTAACTGTCTTTCTGGCACCTTTCACTCTGGTAATGGTGTCCGGAAAGGAGGTATATCGTCTCCATGCTTATTTCATTTGTATATGGATGATTTATCTGTAAAATTGAATAACTATGGTACTGGCTGTTTTGTTGATAGTACCTAGGGAGTGGAGATGGTGCACATTGTGCGTTAATCATTAATGTATGCTGATTATCTTGTTATTTTTAGTCTATCAACTACAGTATCACAGAGCTTGCTTAATGTTTGTTCTCAGTTTGGTATAGACAATGATGTTAAAGTTAAATATAATGCGAAAGATTCACGTTATGATTGTGAATTATAAAGAACATTGTAAGTTGGTATTTCCAGATTTGTATTTGTGTAGTGCTAGACTTGTCGTTTTTGAAGAGGCTAAGTACCTAGGTCAATATCCTACTAAGGACCTGTGTGATGATATAGATATTTGTAGACGGTGTCGTAAACTTCATGCACAGGGTACGACATTGTGCAGAAAGTTTCATATGTGCTCTCGTAGAGATAAGGTTGAATTATTTTGAGCTTATGCACCGTTAAATACCGCACATATTAGGAGTAGGTATAAAAAGAGCAGTATAAATAAACTCACGGTACCCTATAATGATGATATGGGGATTATTTTACGAATACCTATGCACTCTAGTGCAAGTAAAATGTTTGCAGATGTGAATATACATGCATGTCAAGCTGTTGTAAGAAATCTAATTTTCAAGTTTATTCAGAGAATTGACACTTTAGAAAATATGATTGTTGACATGTTGGTTAACCCATTAATAGAAGTACAAGTTTTGGTTATGAAGCTTAAGCTATGGTCACAAAATGGTCACCCAAAAGTAGCCTGCTCGGCGGCCGGGCGGTGAGTTTTAGGCCAATTTCGCCAGGGCGCCAAGCGGCGGCCGGCCAGGCACCGCATGTTTTTAGGGCATCGCTCGGTCGCTGCTGAAGTTCTAGCGCGGAGTTAAAATTCGGGCGGCGCCTGCTCATTTTCACTCGCCACCCAAAGTACGCTCGGTGTCACTAATCGGTCGGTCGCCGCTCTGAATTGTGACCATAGCTTTACTGTCACAGTCGGCAGAGGTTGAGTAAAGTAGTTAATTTTGGTTCTCGTATATCCATATGTGTTCTTCTCTTTTTAAGTCCATTGTTTATAGAAGAGTTTAATTCAAAAGGAGCTTAATCCATTTGTGTAACTTCGGAGAAAAAAAATTGTTTACCAGATTTTTTACAGGCGTCTTTATAAAAGTAATATTAGAAGGCGCAAAATTTATCCCAAAATTTAGGTAAATAATTTTGTTGATAGACGGGTACTTAAGTGAATAATGTTCTGATTTCAAAAACTTTATTTTCATCAAAAGTGGATTTAGCTTCTTTTGGAATTAAACTCTTCAATTATTATATACATTTAAATATGTCAGTTTTTAATGATATGATCCCTTCTTATTCTTGTTCATTGTTTTAACCTCTGCTTTGCAGCTGAGTCTGGAATAAAGCCTTGAATTGAAATTAATTACCATATTCGGAACTTTAACTTAAAATTCGGTTGGAGTTAAACCCCCAAATCACTGAGCTCCTCAAATCTGCCTTTTATTACTCTGTCTCTCGAGTGTAGTCCAGTTTTACTTCAACTTTATTAAGTCGACATAGGGTTTTAACTTTCTACATCATTTAGGCTGCACTTAATGAAATCTTTAAACCGGTTTCGGACTTGTTTTCAAAAATTGTTTGCGATGGTGATGGTGAAATTCTGCTGGCAGCAGTTTTATAGAGACCGAAATTTACTTCATGAAGAGGATATTACGGGAGTATAATCGATGGAGGATGGGGGTTGCAGTTTCCTAGATAATCTTAGCATCATCCTGCGACACAGAATGTCAGCGGGATGCCTGTGATATTATTGCTTCTGTCAAGAAAGAATGTTATCGTAACAGACTTTCATTATATAAAGCCAGGGACCTGCATAAGACTGATAATAGATTGCTAACTGCCAGTAGTAACTTTTTTTCTTCCTGTATGTTCATTTTCTTCAGTAAGGTAACTATAATAAGGGATGATTTCGAGAGCACAGTTTTAACTAAACTAATGTATCAAGTGAATCCTTAAATACAAATAAACCTGACTCCAACTCGCTCAGTTTGATCCTCTGAGTGAAAATGTCTTTACAAAATTTACGATTTTGAAATCTAATTCAAAAGCTTGATGTTGATATAGCAAGCCTACTTGACTGGTTATAGGAGACATTTGTCAGATCTATCTATACACTGTAGTACTATTTTGCATTCTGAATCTATGATTGTCTGTTTGGTGTGATTGGTGTGATTTCCAGAGCCACTAATATCTTCTGTTATAACTCCGTTATTGAAGAAATTCTGTCTTGACAGAAGTTATTAAAGTACTTATTGACCTGTTTCTAGTATAGAATATCTTGGAAAATGTATTGAAAAGGCTAGTTTTAAACAGGTATCTACATTTCTAAACCACATTGATTTGCTTAACCATATGCAGTCCTCATACTGACTACCATATTTCTACCAAGACTGCACTTATATTCTAATGCCGAATGACAAGCTATGTGCCCTTTATAACAGACAAGCTGTCTTCCTGTGAATGTTTGAACTTTTGTCTACCTTTGACCTGGTGGGCATATAAATCTTTCACATAAGCTAGCAAATCGCCTTTTTTTTTCCTACTCGATAATTTCCTCTCCTGGTTCCAATCGGACCTTACCAACAGGTCGCCGAGTTAGGTCCCTGTTAAGGGATTTCTTTCACCAGACGTCCCGTATTTGTTGGGATTGTCACATTTGTCGTCCATTTTGTCCCGCGTTCCGTGTCGATCCGTCGCGGGATATCAGTTTGTCCCGTAGTTACATAATATAGGATTTCCCGGCCAAATTCGTGAGTTTGTCATTCAAATTAATTTGTCTTGCGTTCAAATTCGACGGTTTTAGTGCAGTCAGGTATATCTCGGGTTTATACTCCCTTTTCTAGTTTTCAAATCTATGGAATTTTCGTTAGAATCTACGTATGTTCAAATTAACGAACATTGTGCTTCTTTCGCTATTTGGTGATTCGATTTGGCGCAACACGATTTTCTGACAACGCTACGGTGTACTTTTAGCATTCTAATTCATTTGTAGCATTCAAATTAGCACTTTGTGCACTTAAATTGATGGTCATTATACATTTCTCGTTTATTACACACTTTTTAAAGCTCATTCTTTTACTTTCAAGATTGTTTTTTATTGTATTGTATTGGATTGTATTTCATCATATTTCATTTTCTTGCATTGATACACTTATACTTATTAGATTTATCTGATATTCATCAGCATTTAAGTTTGATTGTTAAGAAGAAAATAACGACTTGCATCTACGGACCTGATGGTCTCAGTATATTTGTAAATGTTCATGAAAGGAAGTTGTTTGTCTTATGTTTCATCATAAATTTATCATAATTTCTTCATAATTTCATTATGGAAGAAGGGAACAATATTTTGACTGGGGTAGGGACTAAAGTCAACAATTTGAACATGATTCATTATTTAGCCATGTCTTTAGCCATCGATCCGCTGGCGCGCAAGCAAACTATGAAACTCTTTAAGGAAAACAGAGGGGTTTGCTGGGTATAAGAGACGATATGAATTACTTTTGTAAAATTCCGGGTCTGTAGTAAAAAAAAAAAAAAAAAAAAAAAAAAAAAAAAAAGGGGGGGGGGCGATTGAGGGGGGTCTATTCGCTATTCATAAGGACCGCTATTCATAACGTGTAAATTCCCGTACTTCCGGGTCCGCTATTCATAATGGCAAAAGAGGGTCACTATTCATAATGAAATAAGGTTCGTTAATCATAAGGACCGCTATTCATAACGTGAGATGAGGGTCGCTATTCATAATTCATATTAAGGGTCATTAATCGTAAGGA